CTCAGAGAAGGAGCTGGCTGTGTATACTGTGCCAGGTGACATTTTGCTCCCCCAAGCTTCTGGTACTGGAAGATATTCATATATTTACAACCTTTCTTAAGGTCATCTCTGCTGTGTCTCCAGCTGAGCCATTAAATATTAATTGGACTACTTTCCAAAAATAAAAAGCAGAACCTCTAATTTACTTGTGTAATTAACACCTCCCACAAACCAGGTGTCCCTCCTGAGCCAACTGAACAAGCCATTTGCTCTCCACAATCCTGAAATATGCTATGTGCTTTTGAGATAGACACACAGTTGCCTGTTTATTCTGTGTGCACAAGTGCTCATAATTATTTGGGGRAAATAAGCACCTCAAATACAACAGAAAATATGCCCTCTAGGCCATGTAGTCAAACCTTCCCACTCACACTAGACAGCTCTCTTCAGTTTGTGTTTTGGGTTTGATTTTTTTTTTAAGCATTTTACCTAGAAGGGCTTGAATATCTTGTTATAGGTAATTTTTCTCAACAAGCTTCAATGCTGCTAAATTTCTCAAAGAGCTCAAATTTTAACCCACAGTTGTAAAGGGCATGATCATTCTCTGATCATATCCAAGCACTTGCGCTAAGGAAATTGGATTGTCACTTAGAATCGTAGAGCCATTTATGCTGGRAAAGACTTTTGGCGTCATAGACTCTAACTGTAAACATATTTAACCATGTAATAAGCCTAACATTGCAATTAGCTCTGAAATCTAAGTTCAACACCAGCATCACTCACATTAAGACAAGGTAAATATGTATTCAGTAATCATTGAGCTGCACAGATAATTTGCAGAAGTTTATTAGGTGCTGATTTAACCCAGATGAATAACATGCCTGCTTTTCAGTGAACCTAAGGAATTTGTGGAGTGAAAATTCACACTATTTGAGGTCCTCAGTGCACAGCTGCCATCTAAGCTCAGAGAGACTGAAGCTCTCATCCAAGAAAACTAGTTTTGTTTGTGTGCTTGCTTCCTTTTCAAGCACATCCATATGATAGTTATTTGGCAGGCTGGGAGCCAGCTCATACCTAAACCTTTTGGGAATCTGTAGTCTAAGCAATAGTTTGACTTTATTGCCTCAGAAACTCAGTCTGTCAGTCTCAGAGCTTATCTGAAAAAAAACAAAAAACAACCTAGCTTCTATTTTCTTTTGGAAGAGGTGACCTTCTTTGTCAATAATGTCAGACCACTCACCTTGGAAATGAGGAACACAGACTCAATTTCTTCCTCTGAAAAGGCAGATTGAAAATGCCATCCTGGATCTCACCTGAAAATACCCACATAATCAGGCTTAGAAGTATTTTGGTGAACTTGTGTTAAATGCCTTGAAGTTTAATGCCTCCTCAGTTGCAGGGSTTTGTTGTGCTGCAGATTTGATACCCTGACTGCCATTAGGTGGAGGATGCCATCCAGAGAGGGTGCAATTCTCAGCTCCAGTCTCTGCAAAAAAAGCACAAGTTTAGAGAAGAGGGCAGGACTTTTTGAATTTGAATTGCAAGCAGGAGCTGAAAAACTGGGAGCTTTTTGGAGGCCTTACTGCTCTGAGAAAATGTTTCTCCTGCACAATTAACAATTTGCCATCCTTTTCCCTTCACCCAGACTCACTCAGCAGCCACAGGTGGGTGACAGCACCTCCTGCTAAGGAAATCACCAGTTCYTGCTGACCCCTGTGGCATTTCCACCTCCACAACACACCTGCCAAGTATTTGCCAGTCTCTTGTCTCTTAGCAAAGGCACTCCAGGCCCTTGGGCAGGAAATACAGATGAASTTTCCTAGAGCACTACCTTTGAGCTGGTGAGAGCATATCCAATAGCAAGAGGCCATTTGGATACCACACTTCAGCTCTGCTGGAAATCTTCTGGTCCAAAGTAAACCAAGGCCATTTTGGATGGCACACTTCAGCTCTGTTGGAAATCTTCTGGTCCAAAGTAAACCAAGGCCATTTTGGATGCCACACTTCAGCTCTGTTGGAAATCTTCTGGTCCAAAGTAAACCCTGCTGCCAGCACTGTGCACCCCCTGTACTATCTAAAATGTCAAAATGTCAGTAAGAGGGAATCCACAGCCTCTGRTGAATGTTCCCATCATGTCAGATATATGGAGCACTAAATCCTTGGATACTTTTTGCACCCTTCCAAAACGATGGGGGCAGAGTGTGGTTTCTGCCTACCTCCTCCTCTCCCTGAACAACCCACAGTGTGCTGAAAGGAGCACAAACCTCATGAGTTTTGTCTGTGTCAGGAAGGCAAGGGAATGAAAGAGACCTCTCACTGAACGTTTCCTGCTTTGCTCAAAAAGTAGAGCAAATCCTTCTCTGCTGGGGAGTGGGTGGTGATAAGAAGAAAGAAAGAATTTACCTGTATACTGAGCAGGGGGAGGTGCCTTTTGGTAATGCTGGACAAGGCTGTAAAATTTCATCAAAAATCAGGACTGAGAGCACTGCAGYTCTCYTTGCCTTTCCTSAGTTTCTGGTCTGCAGCACTGCAGRCCTTGGCTTCCTAATTCCATGTGGAAATGAAATCTAAAAGATGTTCTGCAACCCCCAGTATAGGCTCAATTTTTTTTTTCCATCTAGACCTGAGCACCTCCAGAAATGTTCAATGCTGTAAAGTGTCCACCYTTAACTGCCATACATAACCTTCATTAATTACCTTAATAGCAGGGGTAGAATTTTAAATATGTTCTGTTTTATTCCTTTAAAAGGTGGCTTGTAGTTTATTGGCTTTAGAAGTTTATGACTGCAATAACTTTAAAGTTTAGTTTTTTTCCTCCTCTACCATTTTCTCTAGTAATAACACTTTATTTCATTTGTATGTCTTGAAGGTGACAATTTAATACACTTAACTATATGTAAAATATTCCCCTCCCAAAGTGAGGACCATTTTGTTTAGGAAATCAAGGGTAAGCTAACAACTGTAGGTATCATTAAGCTCATGTTTATTCATGGACAGCTACTGTAGGCTATTAAAACTTCTTGGCACAAAACTGACTAAAAAAATTACTGAAAATTTAGCATCCCTCCCACTCCCCACAGAGTTATCAGGTCCTTATGTTGCAGCTGAAATTAAAGACTGAAACATCAGGTTTTCCTAGCAGCATTGCAGAGGGGGAGGCATGGGCAGACAGGAAGACAGTTAAACTGAAAAGATTCCATAGACAACTTTTTTTTTTTTTTTTTCTGAAATACTGTATTTACACAAAATTGAAGAGAGTACAAATACTTTACTAAGAAGACAAAACCATTATAGTACATTCAATTTAAACACAGGCAGAACTATAGATGCAAAGCACAGAGGCCTAAGGTACTTGCATGGGGAAAGAAAAAAAAAGAGAGCATCATAAAGGCCCCAGAGATTAAAAGCAGGAGGTAACGAATACTGTATTTGAAAGGCAGCATCATCTTTCCTTGACTTCAGTGGGATTGAACAAGACACTTTCCTTCCTCACTGTGGATGGTGGGAAAAAACCCTCTCAATGTGCTGACTGCTCAACATTGATTTAGCAAAATGGTTAAGTGTGTACTTAATTTTCAGCATGGAAGTAGAGCTGTTAGCTTCAAAGAAAATTATATTTGTGCCTAATCACATGCTTATATGCTTAGTTTGTCCAGAAATAGCCTTCTCAATGGGGTCAAGTCCATCGTTACATAAAAAATAAGAGTACTTTACCATCATCTTTCTTTTATTTGTCTTAAAATATACTTTAGAATTGCTTTAATTTTCCCCTTATGTACTCAATTAGAAAATAGTAGTTTATTGAATTCTTAAATTTTAATACATGTCTTATACAATCAAAGGAATATTGTTCAAAAATAATTCCCACATTTTTCCAAAGTCTGTTTAAATTTAAAAAGAAATAAAAGAGAAAAATACATATAATAACAAAGCAGCTTTATATTTCCGGGCATTTGGCAGCAGGTCTGTTATAATATTTCTCACATCTCTTGTCTGTTGAAATCACCAGATTAATTGATCATTATTAAAGAAAAGATTGTACAGTATTATTACAATCCACCATATATAGCCAATGCATGAAATATTTTACACATTATATATCCCTTATAAAGAATTAATACATTTTAGCCTTTTCTTTGAAAACAGATAGCTTCTGAAGTAATATATCTTAAACACAATGGTATCTGTCACTTCTACTGTCTAACTGATTTTTTTTTCTGAGTAAAAGCTTGCTTGAATAGGACTACTAGCTCAGTGATGGAACTACAGTGCTATTTAACTAAATTCCATACATGTCTTCGTTACTGTTGCTGCAATTATTGTAATCACATACCACTGAAGTGCTAAGTATTAATAACTCAGATATGTGGACTTTGGTTATGCTTGATAGAATACTGGCATATCAAATATATGTACCACTTCCTAAAGGCTATGTTACAATCATGATGCCTAGTAATAAATTAATAATAATAATAATAATAATAATAWTAGTAACAATCTTAGATTCAAAGTGCTGACTCACTTGAGGCACCAATACAATAAATCAATCCATTAAAAGATCTGTTTTTAATGTTCAAAACTAACAGCAGATCCTGGGCTGCCAAGTTACATGCACAGAGCATGGAGGACTCTGAACCTGTCCTTCCAACGCTGAGATTCCTGTGGTCCCAGAAGACACTGGAATATCACAWCTGATGTGGATGGAACTCTCTCCAACACGTACCAAGTCTTCACACATGAAACACTAAGAGCTGTCTAAGCTTCTCTAAAGCCTGGAAATGCTCCCTTAAAACCCCTCAAGCCAACTCCATTCACTCAAGGACRAGGCTTTGCCATGAATTGTGCTTGGCTGCAGGCCAGGGAAGAGCCTTTTATGCAAGTCCACGATGAAATGTGTCACTTTAATGCAGCTTTCACACCCTGGAGACACTGTCACCACTGTCAGCATGAGGGCAAAGGCAGCTTTCCAGCAGCAGCAAACACCTGTCTCCCTGGAAGGGGAGTGCTTCACATTTCAGTTGTCAGTTTGTTCTGTGCAAGCAGTAATCGTTTTCAGTGTCGAGAGAACTGTTGTACCCCGATGAYGGATACAGGTCCCTCTTAAGTATCCTGTTGACGATGTTGATCAGAACTTTCTTGTACTGTTGACGTAAAAGTGAGTAAACAAAGGGATCTGATGCAGCCTTMCTGTAGGTGAGGCACTTGCTTATAATTCCCCAGTAGTAATTTATGGTAACAAAAGGAAGGAGCTCTATCAACCTGTTAAACATTAAAGAGAARTGGAAACACTTGAGTGTTGTATTTACACCGAGCCCAGGGCTCAACTCATGCTTCATGAAACATTCAAGCAACATTTATTTCCTTACAGTAGACAGTCCCTGCAGGAGAAGGGCTGTGTGCTTACTCCTCACATTCAATAAGGGCAAAGAGAACTTTCCTAGCAAGGCCACTGGGAGACAAAATCAATTCTTTCTACAGAGAGAGGGAAAAAGTGTTTTCAATGGTAATGCTTCTGTGCATCAGAGATAAGGGAGTGCTGCAGTTTACTGCTCACTTTCTGAATTTACTGAGTTGTGCTGGGAAGTGGTCAAAATTTTGGTGACATAATTGACTCYCTCTCCTACAGAAAGCTTGAAAGAGACACATGTGGCCCGGGGCAGCCAGACTCACTCACCTCAGTAGAACTGTCTAGTGACACTTGAGACATTTGCACATAACCCCATTGGCATCAGGCTGCTGCTCCTGGAAGGTACTGTGGAATATCTGCCAGCCTAGGTAAAGGACTTGKCTACCATGCAGCATCTCAAATGACACCAGAAACCTGGCCTAGATCACAGAATCCATCCCTCAGACACAGACCAGCAYCTCTGGGGTGAATTAACATGGATGCAAAGCAGATCCATGTCAGACCACTGCAGTATGAAKAATGACCKGGCAGTATCTCAGAGAGGTTTGGCTGGCAGCTACAATCCCACAGTCCTCTTAGGAGCACACCTACAGCTACTTACCCGTGAAAGTTTCTSTGTGKGTTTATCTGACCGCTAGTTTGGCCRAAGAAAACAAGGAGACAACACTTTTATCACAATTATCTGACCAGTCAGCTGCCTCCAGACCTGTGYCTCCTGGTCTGTGCTTCACGGATGATTAGTGGCCTCAGCACCTCAGCTGAGAGGGATGTATTAATCATGGGGGGAGAAACTGCAACCAAGTTAAATAATTTTTCCAAAGAAATGAGAGCAGTCCTTCACACTATCCCAGTAAATGTCTCGCCCAGCTCATATGCAAGGGGCAAGCCCTCCTGGAAGGTGGAAAGAACACGGYGAGGAATTTTTATTTTCTGTGTATTTTTYTAAAACCTTTTGCAGGAGCAAGGTTATGCTACTTGTCTCTATTCATCCCAGAAGAAAAAATGTTCTGGGAGATAAAACAGCTCTTTTCTGTACTCTRAGACACCACTGTTTGAAGATGYAAGATCAGAAACTTTCTCAAGGCTTGAAGAACCTTCTGTCCTCTTTCCAAAATGCAGAGCTCCCARSTTGYAGGGTGTTGACTTTTGAAGTTGTTCCAATCCCTTCTCATAGAAAAGCTGACTTACCATCATTCAGATCGAACATTGCAACAAAAGACAGAAAAATTTCTTATTTGTAAGGCTAAAAGTTAAATCATTCCTGTGACAAGTGTATTTAAAAAAAAATAAACCAACAGATGACTTCTGTTTAAAGCTGCTCAGAAGAAGTTGCAGCGAATTCAAAATAGGTAGAACAGGAAGACCCAAAATATGAGAAATAAATGTACAATAAATGACACTTGCTACATGATTGCTTAGATTTATCCCATCCTGTATACCACCCTAATACAAGAAATATATCATTTATGTTTATGCATTTGATGTTTTTTTAAAGACACTAAATAAGAAAAGTAAAGTATCCTTCCATCTTGAAAACATGTATTGCTGTGCTCCCATTAATGCATTATGGACCCAAACTTAATTGCACTCAAGCCAACAGAAGAAAAATGACACAGATTTTAATAAGATAAAAGGTCTGGCCAAAACCAGTCAGACCTAGAAATACCCATCTGAATGCATCTTACTATGATTTTCTTGTTTTTGGTGCTGTTACAAAAGAGATGAAATTCATCTGTCATCTCTCTGTGAACAGATGAATATATTGCTAATGACTCTAATCTCATTCAAATTTCTGAAGTGAGGAGCAAATTAATCCTGAGCTCACAATGCAACCTGAGTCACCAGGCCAAGAGCAGGAAAACAGAGAGGATGGTTTTCACATTGCCTCCCCAGAGACTGCTTCAGTGCCACCCCACTAAAAACCTGAACGGGGGAAGAATGGAGAAACAGCAGCAGCAAGTCCTCCAACCTCACCTCCAGCACCACTTTTTATGTAGTGCTGTCTTGGCACTGTCTTATCTCTGGGACAAAGCATTTCAGGCTGTCTTCCCCAAATATTTCCCAAWTTCTGCTGTCACTGAACCAGCTCAGTCCTTRTGACTGAGACAGAAGCTCCACCTGGACACACTCTTCCATAAAGCAGCCCTCAGCCTTCTCTGAGTGATTCAGCAGGTACCAGTTTGTTACACCATCTCACGTTTGCCAAATGCAAGGTCTGAAGAATGAAGTAATTTTTGTTTTAGAAGTTTATGAGAAATACTTCCACCCTGAAAAATGTGGCCATGTTTGGAATTTGCTGAGTTTGGTAATGTTCAGATGGAAAGAAGATGGCAACATCCACTTTGCTCAACATAATTACATCCTGATTATGGCAAAAGTGAATAGAAAATGACTCAAAATGTAMTGAACAATGATAAATTAACCTTTTAACACCACAGTGCAATGTTAATATTTGTAATAATCCTTTCAACTGCAGAAAAAAAGATGTAGTTATCCAGGCAATCAGGAAGGAACTCMTTTCAACATAAATGGGAGGTGAAATAAATGTCACTTTAAAAATTAAAAAACATTGCCTGTTTAGCGCGGTGGCCTTAACCTGTTCCCTGCTCATATCAGAAAAGTCCGGTGACACTGACAGTGACAATGGCCTATAAGTGTGTGACAGTGTAAGATCAGAGCACTAAAGCTGCCCAGTTTCTGAGCAGGTGTAGCTGCAGACACTGTCAGCTTGGGAACAACCTTGAAGAAGCCCTTACCAGGAGGTTTTGCACACTAGTGCACCTTCCTCAACACAAGCCAGCACTCTTCAAGCCTGTCTTGAACACACTGTGAAGTGGGAAACATTTTTAAAAATCACTTGTGAAAGATGTAGCCCATTTTAGTTCAGAGATGAAAAGTTAAATCCTGGGGTGCTGCAATTCAGTATACTTACACTGACTTCCAGCTCCCTAGTTCATGCAAGATTTAAAAATAATAATTATCTGTTGAACAAAGACTACACAAGTACATAAAGACACGATGCATGGACACTTAAAAAGRTGCAAACCACCAGGAATAATGCCTATAATTCTGTCCAGTTGGTGTTTCCCGTACATTTTAGAGTCTAATTATTMGTTTTTCTGAGAGATAACTTTTACACCTCGTCACAAGTGTGTGCTGCACCATTAGCAATATATTTACAGACATTAATGGTTCCAGACAGAAATCTTATCTGACAAATTATCAGCCTGGACAAATTTAAAATATATCAACTCAGCTTCCAATAGCC